ATTAGTCACATCTTGCACGGGTTGCTCAGTGCCACCCTCCTGTGCCCCATGGGGTCAGTGAAGTGGTTTCCAGAGAGGAAAACTGAGTGCAAAATTAAGCATGAATGTATTAGAAAGTGCAAGAATTCCTAGCATTAAAGCTGAATATTTTGGTGTTGGAGTGTTTGTAGTGTTGTGAAACAGCACCCTCAATCCTAATGAGAATGTTTCCTTTTTTAGCTGAAAGAAGAGAATGCTACTTTGAGAAGCAAGATCAGTAAACTTCAAATTCTCTCTGAAACTCAAGCAGACAAGTGCGTAAGACACAGTGTGGGGGGAATAACCACCCAAGGAGTTGGCTTAAAAGAGGGGCTCACTGGGAACAGTGCCCTTAAAGAATCAAAATGTAGTTGAAAGCTATGCTATTTATTAAAAAAAGCATTAGCAAACCTGGTTTTCTTATTGGGAAAGTCTTGGAAACCAGGTAGCCAGCTGACATCTGATGTGTTTGTGTGGCCTGTGCTTCGTGCAGTGCAAGTGGTGGGTGAGAACAAGGGCAGGGCTCAACAGGATGCATTTCAGAAAGCTTTAGATTAACAAAATAATAAATATTCATCTCTCTCCTTTGAAGCAAAAAGAATAGATTTTATTTTTGCTGGTGAGCAGCCTGGGAGACCTGAATTCCCTAAGGTTAAACAACCCGGTGGCCCAGCTGGGGTGGCAGTTTCTTCAGGTCTGAATCTGATGGATGTGGAACAGAGAAATCCCCTGAGCCACAGCCTAGAACTGGAGCTCTGTGGGAAGAACTATTTTTTCTTATAAAAGAATGAGTTTCTTGATCCTTACTTGATCCCTAGAATTTTCTTCCTAAAGTATTTAGTGTTACAAGCACTTACTGTACATCTCTTTTTTTAAGGATGAGGAAGCTTGAGAAAAAGCTTGAGGAAAACAAAATCAAAGAAGAAAAAGAAACACAGGATCTGGAAGCAATGGTGCAGCATGTGGAGCAAAATCTCCAGCTGATGACTGTAAGTGTTGGTGTTTGCAGTTGGAACTGTGGTTCCATCCCTTTTCCTCCTTTCCCGGGAGAGGGAGGGAAGCTGAAGTGATTGCTTCACCCAAACAGCTCTGATGGGTTCAAACTTTTCCCTTGGAACAAGACAACATCCCAGACCCTTTCTTTCCCTAGAGTAAGGCAGGTCTTTGCTTTAATGTAATTTCTGGATTCATCAGCTGAAGTTGCTTTTTTGCAGCCTTCTGACAACACATCCTGCGTGAACTCTGAACTGTTTTTTCTCTTTGCTTATTTATACTGAGTGTCTTTTTCTCTTGTCCAAGAAAAAAGAATGAATAATGTCCAGAAGAGCTGGGTGGCACCTGCAGATCCCAGAAAGGAGAAATGGGGGGGGAGGAAGGAGCTGTTTCCACCTCCTAAAGCATTCAGAACACAGGATGGGCAAACACAAACCATATTCCTCCAAGTTCTGTGCTGGAATCACTCATTCCTGTGTAGCCCTCTGTGGTGTAAATAATCTTTGTTGTGTTTCAGAAACGGGCTGTTAAAGCTGAGAACAGCGCTGCCAAGCTGAGACAGGAGAACACCCTGCTCCAGGTATGGAGCAGCATTCCTGGGGCCTGGCTGAGGAACTGGGGCTGCAGGGATATGTCTTGGAATTGAGCCTCTAAAGAGGATAGTGCAAGATTTTTGCAGGCCATGGGGAAAATACTGAGGGTGTTCTCAGGTTCAGTTGTGGTGCCCTGCCAGAGGCTGGGAAGACCTGGATGGTGCCACCCTTTTCAGTGGTGCCCAGTGACAGGATGAGGAGCAATGGCCATAAATTAAAACACAACAAGTTCCACCTCAGCATGAAGAAGAACTTCTTTCCATGGAAGGTGGCAGAGCACTGGAACAGCTGTCCAGGGAAGTCATGGATTTTCCCTCTCTGGAGATGTTCCAGATGCATTCCTGTGTCACCTGCTCTGGGTCACCCTGCCTTGGCAGGGGTTTGGACTGGATGATCTCCAGAGGCCTGTTTCAACCCTAATGATTCTGGGATTCTGGGAAGGCATTCCCTCCTGGCAGTCTGGTGTTGGGATCTAGTTGCTATTTATTGCATCCTTTTATTCTCTTCACTACCTTTGTGTGAGTGATTTTATTACATGACATAAACATAAACTGCTACATGAACACGTTCATTAGTTGTAAGGTATCCACTGGAGTTTTGTGGCTATTTATCCCAGTTTTTGCCTGTTTCCCCCCAGGTCCAGCTGAGGAATTACAAGGCAGAGAACGAGGCCCTGCAGCTGGGACAGGCAGGGCTGGCAGCAGCAAAGCAGAATGCAGAGCTGGCCCTGCAGCACCTGCTCAGGGTCACAACCAGCTCCCGAGCATCCATCAGGTGAGACACCTCTCCTGAGGCCATCCCAGGCTCTGGGCTGAATCCTGGGCTCACAAATAAACCTCCTCAGGGGGTTTTTTTAGCACTGAATCTCAGGTTTTTGTCTTTTGTGTGCCAGATGAGTTACTCCATGTTCTTATTCCCCTTCAGTGTGTTTTCCTCCAAGTACAGGTAAAATAAAAATAACTGGAAATAAAGTGTAGGTAAAATGAAAAAATAACTGGGATGTAGGAGTCTCTAAGTCTCTGATACTTCACTTTAAGAAGTGAAGGTTCCAGTCTTGATAAGCTGTTGCTTGATAGGTCACAGAGTGGGCAACCCCCCCAAAACTGCCCATGAATTCTCTGGTCCCCCCATGTAACACTGTGTCTCTCCCATTCCAGGCAGCTTCTCTCCGGAGCAGAATCCCTGCAGCTCGTCACTGATCTCCTGAAATCCATCGACAGAATTTCCGAGGTGTCAGAGGATGGACAGTGAGTGACTCAGACACCATGGAGGACTTTGCTTTCATTTAGTAACCATTACTAAAAAGCGAATTTTTGATACTCGGCCTCATATCGATGCACGGAGCTGCAGAACTGGCGTCCCCATCCCTCCGCACCGCGCAGCCGATGGATCGCTAAATCCCGAAGGGACAGGAGCGCATCCCTGTTCCCGCGGGGCTGGGAGCACTGCCCCTCCTCCGCGAGCACCTCAGCGTTCAGCTGGGGCTCCTCGTGCCGCGGCAGGCGAAGGGGCTGTGGGT